CATAATGGTGTTAATGTGGACCTAACCCTAACCTTCCACATACATCCATGCAGGTAAAGTGTCACCCAAAGGAGTCCTCAGGGTCAGCTCATACTTTTCCCGTTTCTGTGTAAAAGGCAGTCATGCATTGTCTTTTCTCCACCTGTGAACAAGCTACTAGCTACACTTGGAAGGTCTTGAATCTGTTGTTTTTCTGGGCTGACAAAAGTTCCTGTAGCAAGGTTGAAGGGGAATGTGATTGGGGAGGCCAGCCGGTGAATCATCAGCAGTACAAGAAGGGGTGGTATACAAGGGCGTCTTTTCTTCACCTTCTCATTGCAAAGCAACAGCTGTCTTTTAACCCATTTAAAATATTTATCCTTTCACGGTTTTTTTTTAAATAAAGAAAATCGTCTTCCAACTAATTGACTGGCGAAAACAAACATGTCTGTGGATGAATCTCGGGGAGATCTAATAACAGAATGCGTGATGTTCTCATGCAAACAGATGGTTACCGGTGTGTAAAGTAATCTCTAGCACACGGCCTGAACCAAGAGATGCATGCAGATAAGAGCGGAAGCGAATCTTCTAGTGATCACAGGACTGGACTGCTGCTGAAAGCACTAGCCCCGTGCTGAGCCTCCCTCCTCTTCTCCTCCCCTTCCATCCCACCCCATCCTCCAATAGCCGGTGGTACCACAATTTCCCATGTCCTTGCACTGTGCATTCCCCTATTTCTGCCATGCAAAGTAAGCAGTGAAGGAGAGCTTCGGCTGAAACCTGCTAGAGAAGATGACTTCTTTTGTTTTACAGTGAATGATGTAGTAGGATATTGGGACTGATCCGTTGGATGCTTTGCAAGCTTTCATTAGCTCAGTCATTGTACCCTTTTTCACATGCACAGACTGGTGTTTTGCCATCTGTGACAGCAATGTGCCGGTATCGCATTGGGTTCCATTTTGCAGATGGGAGGGTGAGGCTGTTGGTGATATGCTTCCTTATTTATTTATTCTTCAAGGCAAGGCGGGATATGAATCTAAAATAATTAATTAATGAATAAATTGTACCCCGCCCTCCCAGCCAAGGCCGGCTCTGGGCGGCTTACATAAAATCACCGAAAAACATTTTAAAAAGTACAATAAACCATTTAAAACAGTATTAAAACCAATTCGCAATTCCACAATAAGTGCTTGTTTTGCTGTTATTGTTAAGGTGGCTTGTTAGTTTTGTGTCTTTGATTGAGTGTTATGATTTTAATTGTATTTTTAAAATGTTTCCATGTTCTTCTGTTTGCCGCCTTGAGGGCCCTGATTGGGTGGAAAGGCGGCATAAAAATGTTTTGAATAAATAAGAGAATAGGAAAACCTAGAAATGCACAAAATGTATAGAGGAAAAGTATACCTGTTCCCACGCCCCCAGGCCACAACAAACCCAGGGGAGAGCTTTAAGTCTCGTATCATAAGGACATCCTCTTAGGATGAGGCCAGCTATTCCTGAATGGGCACTCCCTGCAGACCAAGAAGTGATACCTCCTGGGACTTTCTGAAACAACCCTTCGCTCTAGTGAGGGGCAAGAAAGCCAGCCTGGTCCTTTGCTTTGGAAAAGAAGGGGTTTTGGAGAAGCAGGTCGGTGCCAGCAAACACATTTGAGGGTGCCACAGTGCCCCCTGGCACCAGTGTGGGCCCTACCCCTATCCTACCACTCCAATGAGCAAAGTTTGTTTATTTATTGATTGAAATGTTTATACCCCACCTTTCCTTCTGTCTAAAGTTGGAGGACAAGCCACTTAAGTTGGAGGAAGAGTCCTTGGAGGATGGCTGGACCCATCATACCATGCTGAAGATCACTGTCCCACCCTTCCCTTGTATTAGAGGGGCTCCACACCTTCTGCATTTTGGTTGCCCTTTCTGAATTTTCTTCCAGTTCTAAGCTACCCATTCATTCATTCATTCATTCATTCATTCATTCATTCATTCACATTTATAGCCCGCCCTTCCCAAAGGCAGGCTCAGGGCAGGTAACAACACTCCATTTATACAAAATATATTAGTTAATACAATAAAATTCCAATTTAAAACATCATCATAAATATTAAAATGGTGGTCACAGCTGATAACATTTTCTGGTTGTGGGAGGTTCCTGGCCATAGCCAGTAGTTGTTAACAGAGTAGGGTGAGCCAGACTGTACAAAATATTCCAAATCCTGCCACATCATAGATATAAAGGCAAGTGGCTTTATTTCCAGTCCCTTTTCTGATAACCCCCAGCATGGAGTTTTGCTGCACATTGGCGGTGGAAACTGCTGTCAAATCAAAACCGAAGGGTTTTCAAGGCAGGAGACATTCAGAGGTGGTTTCCCACTGACTTCCTCTGCGTAGGAACCCTGGACTTCCTTGGTGGTCTCCCATCCAAATACTAACCAGGGCCCACCCTGCTTAGCTTATAAGATCCAATGAGATCGGGTTAGTCTGGGTCATCCAGATCCAGTCACTGCTACACACTGTCAGCATTTTCACTGCACCACCATGACCCCCAAATCTCATTCCCGCTTAGCTCAGACTCCGCTGGTGAACATGGGAAGGCAAGATATTTAACCCCAGTGTGCATCACTTCATATTTGCTTCCATTTGAACCTCATTTGTCAGTTGGTTGCCTGTCTACCCAATGTGGAGAATTCCTTTCACAGTTTCTTCCTATCTTTATGTCTGCCATCCCTGAATTAATGTGGTGTGTCATCTTCAAACTTGGCCTCTTCACTGTTCTCCGCTGTCTTCCTATCATTTACAAACAAGTGCCCTGGCCAGAGAAAAGTATTTATTTTGTTTATTTCTTATTGACTTGGCTTTTTAACCCACTGAATTCCCAGAGAATCAGGGCAAGTAACAACACAGACAGAAAAAGAACTAAGGGTCCGGTCACACGCAGAATTTGCTGCAGGATACTCACGAATGCCGGGCAGATTTTAAGGGCGCGATCGAACAGGCACATCTGGTAAGCATCGCGAACCCGTCGCCATACCGTCTTGTCCGGCCAAAGATCCAGGGTTAAAAAGTACCAGCAAAAGTCCACTATCAAGCGTTTGCGACGGGCCGCAGACGGATGTCCTCCGTCTGATCGCTCCAGCGCGCTCCTCTTGCCTCGTTGAAGCACGCCGGGAGCACACGCCGCCAAAAAAACCACCCAGTTCACCACCATCGTGTCTGATTGCGTAGTGGCGGGTCAACTTGCGACGGCACAAATAGCCACAAACACACACACACCCCGGCGTTATCTGGCCTGTGTGACCGGGGCCTGTGTAAAACAAAGCAGGGGCTAGAAGTGCCATCCTCGATAGAGCTATGCCTTTCTAAGTCAATTGAAATAAATGGGCTTAGAAGGGGGTAGCTCATTTTAGGATGACAGTAGTACCTTTGGGGGATTTAATATAAATTTTTATCCAAGGGTTTTTTTCCTGTCCTGCCTTTCTATTAATATGCAGTACGTACTCAAAGGAGCGGCACGTCTGCCAGTAGTGCAGTTCCTTTTAAAAGTTAGCTTGCGTACTTTCCTAAGCCCTCTTGTTCCTTATCTGATGTTACACGCGTTATTTATTTGCATGCCATGGAAAAATGTATAATGATGTTATATCAAAAACAATGGCATAGGGATTTGGAAAGAACACTAACTGAAGACGAATGGAATATAATGTGGAATTCGACTAGCTTAAATTCAAAAACCTTTGCAGTACGATTACAAACATTAAAATTATTAACCAGATGGTATATGCCACCCACTATATTGCACCAAATTAATAAGGACAGTAGTCCTTACTGCAGGAACAATGATGGGGGGGAGCAGACTTTATACACTGTTGGTGGCAGTACAAATTTATTAGGGAATTTTGGATACAGATAGTAAGACAACTACATGAAATAACATGAAATAGACAAATAAATGAAATAGAAATGACATGGATGGGATTTAATGACTGAATTCTCACAATTTAGGGTACATCAATCTCCAGTTCTGACATATTTATTACCTATGTTGTTCCCCCCCCCCCAAGTTGGACCCAAACAGATGATAACCAGAAACCAAGCGTGTCATTCTTTTTTATCTGTTAAAAAACACTTCACTATTTTTGCATGCTAATTTAACAAGCCACCCTGTATATATACAAGTATGATCTGTAATTCCATTTTGTTGTCTGGCGAAGTGTGCATGCATACAAAAGCTCACACCTTGAAATACCTTGAATAAAACTTTCTTTGTCTTAAAGGTGCCACTGGACTCTAACTTTGTTCAAATGAAATAACTTACATGGACTTACCTATTACGCCCAAAGCTCTTCTCTTTAATAAATGGTCAGATGGTAGAAAAAGAACACAGAAGGCAGAACTTATCACAATATAGTTATCAGCAGCTAGGACATCAGTAGCCATAAAATGGACAAACAAATACCTACAATTCAACAATGGCACTCCCAAATTTGGGAATATTTTATCTTGAGTAAATTAGCTTTCCATACATCTAATTTACCTCCTGAAACTTATGATAAAAAAATGTAGCAGTATGGTTTCCTCTAATAAGTTCTATGGCAGAACACTATATCATCCCAAACAATCTCCTGTATTAAGAAATGATATATTTTTAATATATGACGACCCCATAGGGTTTTCAAGGCAAGAGACAGAGAAGATTTGCCATTTCCTGCCTCTGCACAGCAACCCTGGACTTCCTTGGCGGTCCCCCATCCAAGTACTAACCAGGGCCAACCCTCCTTAGTTTCCAAAGTCTGACGACGTTGGGCTGACCGGGGGGCATCAGGACAAACCCAAATATCACATGAAAACGAATCCCTTGTCTTGCCCACATCCTCCTCCTCCTCCTCCCCGCCCCTCACCTGTGTCATCATGACATTCTTGAATTTTGTTCTCATCCTCCTCCTGGCGACCCCAACATTATTCTTCTCCTCATGTCTGCAGTGAATTCAGCAAAGTATATTGCAGCTCTTAAAATTTATTTATTTTTTCTCTCCCAGGGGTTTATGGCTTGAGCAATTCTCTGCTGGATACTCCATGGAAGAAGCTTCAGTTTGGAAAGCACCTCTTCACAGATGTTGTCAAGCGCAGTCAAGACCTCACCAAAGAAGACCTGGTGCAAGAGCTCATTAACGTCATGAACAACCAAGACCCGTAAGGACACTCTCTCGTATCTTCCTTCAGCATCTGGTCTTTCTAGCCATCTGCCAGTTGCTTACAAAACCAGCATTTTGCTGGGAACAATAATGTTTGGGAGTGAAATTCAGTTCTCCAAAGAGACTGGGGTATTTTGTTTTGTTTTTTGGTGCTTCAGTGTTTGAGATCCAGATTTACCAAATTCTCTTTATGCATTTAAAATATTCTAATGTCTGCCTTCCTCCCAGGTATCTGGGACCTAAAGCTGCTATCAAACAGTTAAAAACATTCAAGGAATAATTAACTGAATTATTCAAGGAATAATTAATTGAATTATTCAAGGAATAATTAATTAATTGAAAACATAAAAAACCACAACGTTTGTAACACCCATTTAAGAGACCACAACCCAAAAAAGCAAAATATCGTATCAATTCTTAAAGTGTTAACAATGTCAAGGGGTACCACGGTCACCAAGGGTTGCTGTGCCAAGTAAAGTTGACTCATGGGCTCGTGCCAAGAGAGGCTGTCCTTAGCGAAATTCTGCCCAGGAATATGTGCCGTCTTCCACTGACTCAGTTCAGACACACAGCAACCTGGGTTAAGGAAACCTAGCTAGAGTTTGGTGCAGTGTCTGAATTGACAAACCAGTTGCGTCACTTCCAGAGACTGTTGCACCCTAGAGGTGAGAGGGAAGCTGAGTTGAGTGCCAAGAGGACAAAAAACAAAGCTGATGTGCCAGTTCTAAGACACGGCTTGTCTGTTGGATGCTTGGAAGCTCCCATAATTGTTTGGACTCTAAACTGTGGTTAGTGCAAGCCACAGTCAGATGTAAAGTTTGGGTTCAATCAACGAGGGTAAATTACACACGGATGTCCTTGACTCTGTGATATCTTTGATCTTCACAAAGCAGCTGGGGTATTGGGGGAGGATATGGGTCAAGGCTGTGGCACTGGGGAAGTTCTAACACCTTCTCCCCCTGCACACATCTGTACTATTTCTCCAACTGAATCCTCCTCATGGTTGTTTTTAGCTCTGATGGGGGCGGGGGGAGACCGATACCTGCATTGTACCTATCTCTTGTACCTTACCAGAACTAAAAGCAGTCTGCAGGAGGGAGACTAGTTTTGATTGCGGATAATGACATGGTAGAAGGAAAGAGTTTAAAATATGTGTATGGGGGGGAGGGTGAAATTCCCCAACCCTGACCTCCTCCTATTCTACCCATGCCTGCTTTTTGAGCTGCCAGGGAGATCCACTCACATATTCCCCAGTATCCCCTGTAGTTCAGCCCAGAGTCTTTAGCGTGGAGGAACACAAACCACTTGCATGGCCGGCCAGTTTCTGTAATCTCAGAAGCCATTTTGTTCTCCAGCTGCACAAACTTAATTCTTTAGACGCCTGCATTAATAAAGCCAGAGATGCATCATAACCATTTACTTTAATAACTTTCCTTATAAACTCCTTCTCATTAGAAGTAGATCGTTATATGAAAAACAGCCCCCCCAAGAGGTGTCCTATAGAATATAGATCCATATTTAGCTCCCTTCCCTGTCTTTTTATTTAGATATATATATAATTTTGCCTGAGTGGCATCTCTCTGACTTACTGGGATCCTTTGTTCATAATTGAATCATAACTCTTAATATGCGATGGGAGGCAGAAGGCACAGAGCCAGCGGACTCTTAACTAGGATTAAGATGCAATTCAGCTCATTGTCTGCAAGAAATAGATGGTTTGGGTTGATTTTTTTAAAAAATAATTCATCATTATTTTTAGTCTGTTGGGCTAAAGCCAAAACTCAGGTTTGCAGGAACACATATTGGTGGCGAAAGAGAGAAATAGATGGATTGATAGAGCACATGAACACTAGCACCTTGAAGTTCGATCGAAGGACTGGTTTCTGGCATCACGGTTTGCCTTCACAGAATTAGATTACTAATGATTCCTGTGGATTTCTACATTGCAGGATGCTTTGTCTAGGTGTAAATCAATCAATCAATTTATTTCAGCTTATGTGACCAAAGGTCTCAAGCCATTTTTAAAAACAAATTGCCAGGTATACATCTATCATGTAAGGATACATTAAAATGTCTATGCTTTTTACAAACTATAAAATGAGTTATAAGAAGTTAGGTTTGCAACATTAGAAAATAAAATAAGTGAGTAAAAAGACACAACTAGTTATCATTCAGCATTAAAATCCAAGAGATTCAGGTTGAAAGTTTAACAATTCTGAATCCAGGTAACGAGATGAAACTTCTCCAATGTAACACAGTTATTTACATTTCAATGAGATTATAATTGCCAGATGCTTCACAGTTGAAACAGTAATTTCAGGGTCAACGTCCACTAATAAATAAGAGATCACCCATAGCTCCAATGGAAGGTGGTATTTAGATAAAATCGGATATGTCCAATGAGACCTAAAAGCAATTATGTGTAAGAAATTACTCAGAGTCCCTCATGGGATAAGGGCTGCATCCCAGGTTAATTCTTGATGACCCAGTTATATTCCCAGAAGTGGTGTGGGTGAAACCCTCTGGTGAAAGAGAGCCAGCGGGGATACGGCGGATAGGCTGAGGATCTGCGGGACCCAGGTTCAAGTCCCCGCCGCTTTTACGAAAGCTTACTGGGTGGCCTTCATCAGAGAACTGGTGGGCGGTGAAGCAGGATGGGTCCTTTTTTTTTTTTAACCAGAGGCACCATGATTCCCTCCTCCCTCCGTCCTCCCCTGCAAGTGCTTCAACAGCTGGCAGAGGCAGCTGCTCTTTCTGAGAACGTTTGGAGAGCTCCATTCACTTGGCAGACCAATAGCTTCTGTAAGTCTGCTGTTGCCTTTTGCAGTAACTTACTGTACTGCTGGACTGCTGCTGCAGGAGCCAGTTTGGTGTAGCGGTCCAGTGTTCTCAGTAGGAGTGTTCTCTGGAGAGATGCATTTGCGTGTGGAGTATGGGAAGCCAGTATTGCAAAGGGCCAGATAGTGTATGTCTCCGCTATTCTCTGCAGAAAAATCAAACAAATGTCTAGTGGCACATTGAAGTCTTAGCTTTTGAGTTACCCCTGGACTTTGTTTAGTCATGCTGTGTTTGGTTTTGCTTCTAACCGAATGGGCTCTCACTTGATAAAGCTCACACTGGAATAAAATGAAGTCTTCAGGTGCCACTGGACTCCCCTTTAATCATCTTTGATTTCTGTCCTGTCCAGACAGTTGCCAGACCCTGCCATTGAGGATCAGGGAAAAGACTACATCCTCCCCATCCTGGACAAGTATGCGGCTATATGCGTCCGTTGCCCAAATTATGGAACCAGGTAAAATAAAGGTTCAGGGAGGTTTCCATGCACCGTTAAGGCTCCTTTCTACTTTTTGCCGACTTCTGATGTTCAGTGTACTTCTTTATTCTCATAACTGTGTGGGCATTATAACCAAGTCCAAAATGGTGGACCCAAAAGTAATCCATCTCTCTCACATGCCTCCCTGTCATGTCTCCCTAACAACTAGTGTTGGGTTCTTGGGTAAGGATTTTAATTGTCGTTAAGCTTCTCAGGAGCCAGTCTTCCCTGCAAAGGTCAGATGCGAAACAGATTGTTTTTCAGATGTTCCCAATAAGCTTTGCACACCCAGACTAGGGTAGTCAGTGGGCACATTAGAAGGCTGGAAAAGGGCAAAGGGTGGATTGCTATCGTCTGAATGACTGCCCCATCACAAGCTGCATTCTACAATCACTCAGAACTGGGTTTCAGCAGTTGCCCCTACAAGAGGAATTCCATAGTGGTCGGTAGTAGAAAGTATCATCAAGTCTCAGCCAAATTACACTGATCCTATAGGGTTTTCAGGGCATGATACAATCAGAGGTGGTTTGCCATTTCCTGCCTCTGCGTAGCAACCCTGGACCTCCTGGGTAGTCTCCCAAGTACTAGCCAGGGCCAACGCTGCTTCGTTTCCAAGATCCAACAAGATCTGACGAGATGGGGCTATCTTGGGCCATTCAGGCCAGATCCGTAGTTGGATCCCTCCTAAATGTGACGGTCATGATCAGTGTTCCCTCTAAGCTGAGTTAGTGTGAGCTAGCTCACAGTTTTTTAGCCTCCAGCTCACAGATCTTTGTCTTTGCTCAGGAAAGATGGCTCCAGAGCACACTAATTTATGCAGTAGCCAAATTGCTTTCTCACAACTTTAATGCCAGTAGCTCACAGAGTAGAATTTTTGCTCACAAGACTCCACAGCTTAGAGGGAGCATTGGTTGAACTTGACTGTACAGTAGATGATTTCTCAGAGGTCATTTTAGTGGTACAAACTAGGACGAATAGCATTGCATCAAAGTGGGGAGCAAGAGAAAGAATCCTCTGTACCATCTCAGAGACCAATGAATGAACTTCATGAGGTAGCTGACAAAGCCGAGTCCCATCTATGACAGACACAATAAATTTCCTTGTCTTTAAGGTGCCGCAGGACTCTGCATGTCTTGCTACAGCAGACTAACACGGCTACTCATCTTTTATACTGGTTTAAATCCACTGATTTACTATAAGTACACCAGCATGTGTGATAGCAAGGTTGAGCTACCCTGACAGCCGCTGCTTCTCAGATGCTAGTTCCAGCGGGCATGGAGAGGTGGGCGGTAAAGAAAGAAACAGACCCACCGAAATGGTTGTACGTCGCTTTGTATCAACGCCCTGAAGCAGCGAATCACCATGTTCGTTGCTGGCAAATGGCGATTCTGCAAAAACTGCCACGGGTCACAGGGAAGCTTGGATTAATCCAAGGTTGCAAGGCCAGGCACAGGGAGGAGAGCATCTCTATACCGTCTTCATCATTGCCAGGTCGAGCTTATTTCCAGGCCAGGGCCCAGGGCTGGCTCCAATGTTTGAGGCCCTTTGATACGGTACTGGTTCAGTGGACTCCCCCACCCCAGGCACGGCCGTTAGACAGACAGCAGGCAGGCAAATGAGAGGAGCCCCACTTATTCCAGCACGACTGCTTGGATGAACAAACAGCTGTCACTGTTAAGAGCTGCCCCTGTCCCTGCTTGCTCCGGAACGATGATCTGCAGAGGGTGGCAGGCAGCAGTCTCCTCGCTGTCTGGCAGAGGAGCAGAGAAGAAAGAGGAAGAGCCTCTGCCTCCACCCGCACTGGTGGCCTGCATGTCAGGGGAGGGGAGAGGGGATCTTTGTTGCAGGGCCGAGGACCACCACTGGGAAAGAGGGCAGGGTGTTGTTGAAGCTACTGCATATCAGTGCCCCTCCCCCCCGGCTCAGCAGCTGCCCAGGGATGCCTACCCTCTGATGTTGGCTCTTCTACGGCAGCTTGTCATGTAAGGAGAGCCTGGCTGGATCAGACCAGTGGCCCTTCTGTTCCAGCATTCTGCTTCATGCATCAGCCAAACAAGTTGCTCTAGAGGGGGCCAAAAAAAACCCAGAGCACAGAGTCCAAGGCCTTCCCCTCAGTTTGGAGAGCCAGTTTGGTGTAGTGGTTAAGAGCGACGGGCTCTAATCTGGGAGAACCGGGTTTGATTCCCGACTCCTCCAAATGCAGCCAGCTGGGTGACCTTGGGACAGTCACAGCTCTCTCTGAGCTGTTATCTCAAGAGCAGTTTCTGTCAGAGCTCTCTCAGCCCCACCTACCTCACAGGGTGTCTGTTGTGGGGAGGGGAAGGGAAGGAGATTGTAAGCTGCTCTGAGACTTCGAGTGAAGGGCGGGGTATAAATCCAATCTCTTCTTCTTCTCCTCCCTCTCCCTCCTAGCACTGGCATTCAGATGTTTTTTTAAAAAGACATTTTAAAGACATTTGTGTTAGTGGCTATGACCATGTCCAGTGGCAGCAAATTCCCCTGGCCTGGGGGCCCCACAAAGAGGGCATAGAGGCCAAAGCCTTCCCCCTTGCCCCAGATGACTCTGGTCAGGCCTGATTCAGATGTAGGCATGACATCCTGATGTAGATTCCCAGCACTGGTACTCAGGAGGTTTACCCCCTCAACATGGTGTCGTGGTTAAGAGCGGTGGACTCTAATCCGGAGAACCGGGTTTGATTCCCTGCTCCTCCACATGAATTCGGCCGAGAGACCTTTGGGCAGTCACAGTTCTCTCAGCTGTCTCTCAGCCCCACCCACAGGATGACTGTTGTGGGTAGAGGAAGGCGATCGCAAGCCGCTTTGAGTTCTCCTTATGATAGAGAAAAGGAGGGTATAGAACCAGCTCTTTTAAATCTGAAGGTTCTCTATAATACTAGCCAATGACGAAGCTGTCCCTCTTTAAAGCCATCTATTCTGGTGGCCATCATCACACCCACTAGCAGCAAATTCCACAATTTAATTACAAATTGAGTCAAGAAGTACTTCCCTTTGTGTATCCTGAATATTATTGCTTGTCAATTTCACCCCCGGTGCCCCTGAGTTCTAAGATTATGAAAGAAACTGTTTGTTCTATCCATGTTCTCCATCCCTTGCATAATTTTATAAAGCTTTGTCCTTAGTCTTCTCTGTCTCACTTGTTAATATTATTCATCACCCAGATGCATTGTGTGGTTGTTGAATCGATCATTTCAGCAGTGAAGTAAAAGTCAGAAAGGTCTGAATTCTTCAGCACAAAACAGAATAGGTCTTGCATCTTTGTCCTTGACCGTAGTGCTGTGGGGTTTTTCTCCCTGACTTATTTTTCTGTGTACAATGTGGGCTGGAGAATAAGAAAAAAAATTAAGCTCAAAGAATGAGAAGTTGGGGGGGGAAGCTAGATGAGAACAGAGCTAACTTTTTTTTTACTATTTTTCTTTGTTTTCAGGACAAACACCGTCATTCTCATCGATGCCGGAGGCCACGTCACTTTCACCGAGCGCACCATGCTGAATGCAGATGTCGACCAGTGGAAAACGAGCACCTATCAGTTCAAACTGCAGATTTAACAGCTTTCCGTTTTAATGGATCACAAGAAAAGGAAACGAGAACACACTATTGAAGTCGGGGTGGGGGAGGTCTTAGAGCAAACGCTCACGAATGTCGCTGTGGCATACCCTAGCAACCACCAAAACCTTTTTGCACAAAAGCCAAAACAGTTGTTGTTTTCTAAAACGTGGCTATATGGAAACCAAGCTTTGCAGCGGTGGCTGTGTTAGACTTTCCAAAAGGACTCTACCAGGCGACAAAACTACCTGGAGCAATTATGGTATGGGATACATAGGAGATGATTGTCATAGTTTTTTTTCTTTTTCTTTTGCCAGGTAGTTTTGGGAGACAAAATTGAGAATCCACAATGTGATTTGGATTTTTCTATTCAATTTCACTGAATTATTTTACAAATTCTTTTACAAATTGTTAATTGTTTGTGCAGGGTGTCACAGTTTCTTGTTCTCATTATCTGGGTATTTCTGTGGCTGCGATTCCTCCATTTTGCTGTATTCCTCTGACAAACAGCAGCTCTCCAGGTCTCAAGCAGAGTCCATAAAGCTGAGTTAGGTGGACCAAGCATCTGTTGGCATAAGGCAGCATCACGTGTATCGTACAGCGTTCCCTTGCTGTGGCTTCTCGGTAGAATGACGCTAACCGTGATTAAATGTAAACACTGCTTTGCATCTAGCGCCTGGATGATTCGGTGCCGACAGAAAAGACTTAATGTCTTAAGAAAGCCTAGCTGACAAGCATAATCACAGCCAGTCATTGTACCTCACTGAGTAGCCAGATAACCAGACATAACTGGCCGAAAGCGCACTCGTGGGATTCTTGCAGTGTCGTCTGGCTGCAGAGGTACCTGAACGCAGCTGCACTGAGCCTGGGCTAGGGACTTCCAAGGCACCCTCATCAAAAGGCCGGGAGGTCTGGCTGTTCAGGGGATTCCCTTCCCCCCACTTTGTCCTTCCAAATCAGAAGCAGAGAGGTATGCAGATGCACAAGGGCCAAATGCTCCAGTTAAGAGGGAAGGTCCAAGGCAAGTCAAGGCCCAATGACAGGCTTTGTGTCATTTCCCTTACGGTGTTCCGCACTGCACATGTCATCCAAGGGCGGCACCACAAAAGGCTTGGGATTTTGCACGGAGGAGCCAAAGGGGATGAGGAACCATGGCCAAATACCCTGAACTGAAACACAGGCAGCCTAATCAAGTTGTTATTTTGTACTAAACATTAATAAAACAAAATTTTTATAACATTTGAAAACGGGCCAGTTGCTCATCAGCTAACCCTGTGCTTTTGTACTCACTGGCTAGAAAAATGAAAACAAGTTTTATTTCTCTATGAGCAACTGGGTAGAACAGGAGTCCCCAACGTGGTGCCCACGGGCACCACAGCCCCCGCCAGCACCTTTTCTGGCCCCCGCCAAGTGTTTTAAAAAGTTGGTAGGGCCAGGTCCATCAGGGGTTTTGTCTGATTATTGGGGATCTGCTTGACTCTGCAGATTTTTTTTAAAATGTTGCTTTGGCAGCAGCTGCCACCACAGCACAAAGATCTATACTGCGTTACTGAACTTAAGGCGTGGCAATCATTTTGTGGCAGCCGTTTTGTTGCTGTGACCACCATGCCATGTCAGAATTCCAAATGTGCCCACAGGCTCAAAAATGTCGGGGACCTCTGGGGTAGAATATAGCCTCCATACTTCCTCTTATATCTCTACAAGCCAAAGGGCTAGGAACCTTTTTTAAGGAAAGCTGAAGGTCCAAGGTGGGGCGTGAAATATCCTTGAGGGGGCCATGGTCTTGCCTCATGCATTTCAGCTTTTGCCCGGCGCAAGTGTTTTTCACAGCAAACATGCAACCTGTAGCTATGGCACTCATGTGCACAGACAAATGGGTCCATACTCATGTTAAAAGACACTTGTAAACCATAAAGTGACTTCCCCATTACATGGCTGTTGTAAGAACATACGAAGCTGCCTTAGGGGGAGTGAGACCATTGGTCCCTCTAGCCCTGTACCATGTGCCGTGACTGGCAGTAAATCTCTTAAGTCTTGGATCCATTGGAGTGAGACTTTCTTGCTCCCTCCTTCCCACTCAAGTCCAAAATAACCCCCTCCGATGCTACTCCTGGGGGATGGAGGACTCCCCCATGAACAGCTTGGGGGGGACTTGGAGGTCTGCAGAGGGAGGGAGGACTCAACTCTGCCCCCTCACCCCTTCCATCTGTAGAAATCCTCCCCTTGTTCCAGCTCCAAGGTTTCAGGAAGAGTGCGCCACCAGTTATGTCTGGTTAACGTCGCAACCCCCACTCCCTTGCCGCAAAGTAAAAACATTTGTGCCACTCTTCCCAAGTGACTGCTCCATCTGTATTTTCTGATGTGGAAAGTTGCCTGCCAGTAAGAGAAGCACTGTGGATGATGCAGCCACAAGAAGACACCTTTTTCCCCATGCACTTAGAACTCATTAACGCCATCTAGCACGTTGTGTAGGAAACAGTAACCTGTCCTCATTACTGTGGTGTCCTTTCCAGTTCAGTGTTGTCCAGATTACGTAGAACCTTAAATCATTGCTGCGTGTGTTGGTGCAATTTGAAATGATTAATCTGTTTGTTTTTTGAAGAACAAATCAATAAGAGGCCTTTTGGAACAGGGAGGGTCTGTATGCCTGGCATGGCTGAGTTACATATTTCTAAATCAGGGAGGCCTGAGTATTATGAAGATGAAAATACGACTCCCCATAAAAAAACTGTGGAAGGCAGGATTCCAGGGTTTTGGATCACCTTGACCAAAAGCTATTTAGAGTTTTAAGTGCACATGTTAAAAAATGCAGGAATTCAGCTGTGCTTTAACCAAGATCGCATTTCTCTTTAAAATCTACCTCTCATTTCCGGGGTGTGTGTGCAACCCATAAGGTGAAGTGGTGAACACTTTGGGTAGGTTCAGTGAGCTTTTCCAAAAAATGCACATCTGTGTGTTCCTTGCACTGCCGCTTAACTGGAGCTGTTTCTGACAGTACACTTCGTTTTGGAGCACGTAACACACAGAAACGGTCATCAATTGGGAGCAGGCGTAAGATCTCTAGCTGCCCAAATAGCCCAGCTCAGTTCATCAGAGCCTGAGAGCTAGGCAGGGTCAGGCACAGTCAATACTTGGATGGGAGAGCACCAAGAAAGACTGAGGTTGTTATGCACAGGAAGGCAAGTCGCCTCTGCTCATGTCTTGCTCTGGACACCCCATGGTCTTGAGGTTGCCATGAGTCAGTTGCGACTCAGCGGCACGTTCTTATAAGGTCTCTGGGCTGTCCATTGGAGTACCTGGGCCTGCAGATGTGGTCCTAAGCACTGATCAAGGCACGCATCAGAGAGGTGTAATGGGCAGTCCCCGTGTTGGGGGAATGAGGGGTGCAAGAACTTTTTCGTGCACCCTTATTCCCACTGTTCGTTTTGGGGAGGGAGAGAAGCTGGCTTCCCAATTGCATCAAGAGGGAGAGAGAGACAGTTGTCTCTAAATCAAAGCTCAGTTTATTCCACTACACATTCTTAAAAGAAAACCTAGAATCATAGAGTTGGAAGGTACCCCCAGAGTCATCTAGTCCAACCCCCTGCCCAATGCAGGAAATACACGGACCATATTTGTAGCATTTCAGTTTTCGACATAGAATATTTCAACACAACCCCAATACATAAACAGTGCACTCATAATACTATAAAGGATATCCTTGGCTATTCTGCCAAGACCCATAACTGAGGGTGGTTGATCAGAACAACCAGGAACAAGACTAAAATCAGACATGAAGTACTCTTTTTCACCCACCGAAGCTAACGTAGCTGTCAATCAAGCCTGTGACAAGCATTTGACATATATCTGATCTATACAACAAAGTCAGCCCCATTCTATCTCTGGGGTCAGGAAAGTCAAGGAAAACTGGGTTAAGTCACAGAATCAGGGTTAACTAAGAGAGTCCCAAGAAGCCAGCTTCAGATACCCTGTCTGTGTAAAATTTGATAGTGACTTCTGACTGCTGTAAAACGTAAACATTCCTAGTAAGCAGAAGCCACATGAGTCAAATTTGTGTCCAGTGAAGGCCACAGCGCCCAGCAGAGTCCTGAAGCTTCCTGGGAGCAGAACAGAACCAGCGTTTCAACCAGTGTTCCCTCTAAGCTGAGTTAGTGTGAGCTAGCTCACAGTTTTTCAGCCTCCGGCGTGCACACTTTTGTCTTAGCTCAGGAAGGATGGCTCCAGAGCAAACTCATTTACGCAGGAGCCAAATCGCTCGCTCACAACTTTAATGCCAGTAGCTCACAAAGCAGAATTTTTGCTCACAAGACTCCGCAGCTTAGAGGGAACATTGGTTTTAACTATATAGGCTGATTACTCTAGATGTTAAAAGTATTATAGGCGTACCAGAGGTTTTGCAGAGTTTTAGCAGAGGACCAAGACTCAGTCCAGCCCTAATTCCGCAACACCCAGCCTTGGTGGGGAAATGCCATCAATTACGGATGACTCACAGCAACCCCGTAGGGTTTACGAGGCAAAAGGCCAAACGGAGGTGGTTTGCTGTTGCCTGTTTCTGCATAACAGCTTTTGGACTTCTTGGGTGATCTCCCATCCAAGTACTAACCCGGGGCTGACCCTGCTTGGCTTCCAAGACCTGACAAGACTGGGCTAGCCTAGACCGTCCAGCCTTAGAAGTGCAGGAGTGTGGCCACCTCCCTACGCACACACTTTCAAAAATGTAGCAGGGGAAAATGTGTTTCCTAAAGCAGCATTCTCCTTACAACAAACAGAAAAGCTTTACTTTTAGTACCACTGGGAGACAAAGGTAGACACGACCGGCACACCTGCACACAATCCATCGTTTGCTGGGCTGCCGCACCCCTCCAGTGTGCAGGAGCTGGATCAGATGTTTGGATGCTGCCTCCCACGTTAGTGTTAATTTCTTAATTGTTCTTTTTGCTTTTAATGTTCTGGTGTGACACAAGCCACTTCAAGTTATCAGAAAGGCAGGGCAGAAATGTTTTTAAAACAAACTCCCTGCATATATAAAAGCACAGCACGTCAGTGAGGGAATTCTAGGCTCAGTATTCTCCCTGACACCTTTGTCTTCAGTGTGCAAGGAACTGTGTGTTTCTGGTTGGTTTTAACATCAAGGACAATTCCAACATTCAGTCCCACACCTGCTGCCTGAAGGAGGTACAGCCTAAACCCACATCCTGTGTCTGATGAATTATGTAAGATGGTGTGTTTTAA